GCTGCTAGATTACCCATAATAGACAGGATATGATTCCACGAAACTTTGACACGCGGCATTACTAGGCAATTTATGACACTTTTGTTCGAAGGTATTACTGGCCAAGAAGCGATGCTTATGGGTCGTGGCAGCACAATTATTTGGGTCATCTTGAAAGCATAAATCGTAATCCAACGCCGCGTGCAGGCACGGTGGTGTTGTATTCTCATACGTGAGCCAGCAATCGTAACGCCGTGATATGCGTTTTCATGTATGTGGAAATGACCTCCAACGCCCCCAAAATGTCCTGTAACTGATGTTTCTTGTAGTTGAAGAGGCACCAAAGTACACAAATGCTCCAGGCAGCATGCTAACTGCGAATCGCAGGGGTATATATTAGCTATAGTAGATAGCGCGTAGACAAGTCATCTACGCCTTCTTGATCCTTTCCTCGTAGGCTGACCAGGCAGCTTTTCTGTATCGTTCTGCCTCCGCCTTGCGGTCTTGCGCGCGCACGATGCCTCGGCCGACAATGATGACGTCGCAGCCTTGCTCGAAGATCAGCTTGCGAGGAGTGTTGTATTGTTGGCCTAGAGCATCGCCCAGCTTCTTGCCTTCCTGGCCTGGCGGTGGGAGCTGGCAGCCCGGTGTCATGGTAATGAAGTTGTCCTCTGGCTCAGTGTTCAAGCTTCGTTGCGCAATGAAGCCCATGACAAACTCGGGACGGCTGCGTGCGATCTCGACGGTCCGCTTCTGGTATTCGGGTGTCATGAGGTGGCCCTCAGAGCTCATCTCGGCAAGCAACAGAAGCGACCGGAGGAACGGTGGTGGACCAAGTCGGATGAGCTCTGTTGCTACGTCCAAGTTGAAGACTTCTTCTCCATTGGCATTTGGCTCTGGACGCGGCGATATGCTTTCTGTACGCATGGATATCGAGGTTGTCACGCTCACGACGCTGTGCTTGCGGTCTGCAGCCTTGATGCTCAGCCGCCTCTCCTCGCCCTCCATCTCGATGGGTGACTCAATCGCCGAGTTCCTTTGTTGTTGTACGAATTGATCGTCCTCTTCGTCATCATCGTCGTCGAGGCCATTGATTTGCCGTGTGGCAGAGATTTCGGTGTTTACGGACGTGTTGTACTTGGCGATGGTGGCATCGGCAGCCTTCTCGAGCGCGGTGACGATGGCTGGGCCAGGAATAACATGCGCGTTGGTGATCTCGGCCCAGAGCGCAATACGGTGGTGTCCAGAAGTGTACTGCTTCTGTACGGTTTCTGTGGTGTGTTAGAGACTGCCCCGCCAGTGAACATCCTACGAGCCAACATGACATACCACCAATGTCCGCAAACTTTCGGTCTTCGAAGATGAGGAACCATTTCCGCTTGGCAATCTCTCTCAGTGCCTGTGCTGTCCTGTCCGACCAGTCGACGACAATGTCGCAGTGCGTCTTGAGCACACAGATTGAGTCACCGACATCTTCGGCCAGTTGGAGGAGTTCGGCTGACGTCTCGACATCGGCGGAGAGGCAGAGGTTCGTCTGCTTGACGGATATGAGGCTCAGCAAGTACGAAGCCAAGGGCCCGGTCGTGGGTAGTGAGGCGCGCGCACGGTACGTGCTGGTGAGGCTCGGGTGGGAAGACATGACGGCGATCGGTGATGGACGCCCGCCGGATTTTGGCTTGTGTGTTTGAGAAGGGCCGATATATAGCCAGCGCGTGTGAAGGAATGGATCGGCAGCGTGGTGTTGTTTGGCGAGTGTCTCCGCGGGGATGTGTGGTGAGGGGCACTGCTGTCGACGGAGGAAGGAGCGATGGACAGATCGGCAGGTGCGATGAGGCGTGTTATACAAAAAAGAAAGCCACCCAGGAAGGAAGGGGAAATAGCAGCCAAGTCAGAAATATAGCAATGGAAGGCTAACGTCGACGGTCCCGTCGTCGCAGGTCGAGGACGCGGGCGCCGACAGGCAGTGCGCACAAAAATTGCGCCTGTTCCTGGCACGGCCCGCTCAGCGCTGGTCGCAGATCATGTCTAGACGCGCATTCGAACCGAAACCGTCATGCACCGCAGCCAGCGACCGCCCATAGACGCCAGAAATGCCACCCAAGCTGCGGCCTGCCCGCCTACCGCTCTTTGCACCACGGGCCTAGCCATGCACCTCTGCACTGACCGGATGAGCTTCCACTTCCCTCACCCGGCATCGCCTTTAACAGCTGTCTCTTAACCACTTCATCCGCTTCACCACCTCGTATTCGCGATCCTGCACCGCCTCCTGGCCGGCGCTTTACTCATGTTCAGGGCTATTCGGCCATACTGCTAGCGTTGCCAACCGACTGCATGTCGCTTCCTCCTGTCATTACCCCAGCCACCATCCCGCTGTAAACCACCATGCCGTAGCCAGCGCTTCAAGCGCCACCGTAGTGCTGCCAGACACCCCACCGCAACGTTACGCCTGTCATCCGATTATTGCAGCCTCCTCGCCGAATTGCTCAACCTCAATTGCGCCGCTCCGAGATATCAACACGTCGACTCAAGACCTTGGCAACGGCTGCACGCCTGCAACTCGCCAACAGTCCCGATTCGTGTGCTGCCTGCGTGTGCTCCATCGGAAAGTGGGGCCCAGAGGCGACGTCGTATCATGCCCGCATCGCGATCCCCGGTTCTGATGAGTTGGTCGGTCCGTTGCTTGATTGTTGATATTGCTTCCCGTCGCTTTGGTGCTGCGTTCGCCTCGGAAGGATAGATATCCCGCCGCTGTTATGGCCGTAGTGGTAAACGATATCAGGCCAAGGAACCCTCGCTCGGCTTCATTTTGTTCGGATCGTGAACTCTACAGCTGACGAAAACATGTGGAAATTAGAAGCCCAGAACACGCGTCACATGGACGTTCCTGACAAATCCAAAGGTGTCTTATTGTCTGGTCTGTAGGTGCCAGTCTGTTACTCGCGGTTCCTCAGTTCAAGTTCTCTTTCCATCATAACAACCGGTTCGATACTCTTCAAAGCATTCAATGTTCATCCTGAGCACCTGGGTATTCTTATCGTTGTTTTCGCTCTTCACATCAGCATCAGAGCTAAATGTTTACACCATTCAACTGAAACCTATCATGCCGATATCTACAAGACCTCCCATGTGAGCGGCATGTTTCCTGTTCCAATCCAGTGCAAAAGTGTTCGTAACTATTCCTGCTACACTCTGAAAGTATACACTTCACCCCAGTTTAAGCGAAGTCAAGTTAGAACGTGTTGAGTACCTCCGGACTAGATAGTTGCGTTGGTGGGAGCCTAATCGTAGTCACCACAGCATGGCCATGCGAAGCGGTCTACACATGACTTTGATGTTGCCCGTCACTACCATACTTTTCCTCACCTCGAACAGGTAATAGCAGTGGTAGGACGATCCTTCGACGAATGAGAGCGTCGGAACTCGAACATGACAGCCTAGAGGTAATTTCCCGTTTGCGCGTTGCGCGAATTCCGACTTCACTGCGTCTTCTTCCACGAGACACAATAACAACCCCACATTTATTCCCTCACAACAACTTTCCTTCTTCCTTCCCTCTTCTCTCTTCCCTTTACCCACAGCTTTCAACAACTTCATCGTCAATTCGCAGCTTTGCAGCTTACTTTCTCTTTCTTCCATCCATCAAACCCACTTGCATCTACCTTGTCAAGATGCCTCCCAAGAAAGAGGTCGTAGCGGGTGAGGCTCTGCTCTCGGGTTTCTTGGACAAAGAGACCAAGCTGTTGGCCGCGGCATTCCTTAGTTCTACCGCTCCCGACAAGGTATGTCACATTACACATGGTATCTAACATATACTAACGTGAATAGTTCGACTACGACATCATGGCCACGCTTACGGGCAACACTGCTGGCTCCCTCAAGAAGATGTGCAAGTACTACCAAACTGGTAGCACATGAGTTATGCTAACGAGATGCTCCATCATACAGGGCCCCCTGTCAAGAAGAAGGCTCTCGAGGCCCATCCTTCGTTCGCCGCCTACTTGGGACAAGCCGGTGTCGCCGCCCCTGCTTCTGCCGGTGGTGATTCCAAGCCTGCCGCCGCTTCCAAGGTCACAAAGAAGCGCAAGGCTGCTTCCGAGGTCCCCGAAGAAGATGCCGAAGATGGCGCCAAGGACCTTGCTCCTGCTTCAGCTGCTGACAAGTCTGAGGCCGAGAAGTCCGACTCCAAGAAGAAGGCTCCGCCTGCCAAGAAGGAGAAGAAGGGACCCACCAAGAAGCGAATTCCCGTCAAGGGCCCGAACGCCCCAAAGAAGGCAGCCAAGAAGGAGCCTGCCTCTGAGGAAGAAGTCGTCAAAGACAAGTCCACCGAGGACTCCGCCGACGGCGGCGACGGTCTTGGTGAGTATTCCTACCTCAAAAACCTTGAGACCTGGTTGAACAATACTGACAGTGAGTTAGGCGACGAGATCGCAGACGACATCTAGAGACGCTCATCACTTCTTGCAGGCGCTCTGAGTTCCTGACGTTGTACACACGCAAATGGTAGGCATTGCCCACGTCACTGTACTCACAAAAGGGACCGTATTCTTACATCAACAGGAGTTTCTGGGTTGCGCACGATAGCATTGTGTATCTTCGGGGTATACGGTGGGTTGTGTGTTGGCGAAAGGAGTTTCTGGGTGGATGGTATGGCATGATATGACGATTGATACCCTGGTGTTAAGGCTATGAGGGCTTTTGATGGATTTGTTGGGTGGCACGCAACCTTCGCGTAGTCGAATCAACGATGATACATTCCACTTCCGTGTCTTTGTGAACGTGCTGTGATTGCTGTACCTTCATTTACCTGCATGGTTGCTGTGGCGTTTGTCTTCCGTACCCCTGTATCTTTAAATGCGAAGAGCCCAACAAAGGACGATAGTATTTCGTACCGGCATGTTGCAGTATATACGGCGACCCATGGCGTTGTGGTGTTGACATGTAATCAGGCACACGGACCAGCCGCACAAAGCTGTATCACGGCGAAATTCCGCGCTCTCAACCCCATCTTACAAACCCTCAACATGCCACCGACGCCCACGACTCGTACGCTGACAATCCAAATGCCGAGACCGACAATGCATTCTTTCCCTCTGAGCATGAATATATGCCGCCTCCAGTCCCTACAGCTGCCAGGAACATGAGATTCACGCGCACCTCCTCATTCTTCGCAACCATCTTCGGCCTCCAACGAACCACATCCGCGGATCTCTCATCCAGCAACACAACTTTCAACCCCCTCCAAGGAATCCAGCAATTCCCAATATCCTCCTACAGCACCAACATGACGCGTCTCGCACCCGTCATCTCGCTCTCGCACGGCGGCGGCCCCATGCCCTTACTCGGCGACCCCTCGCACGCCGCCATCACCAAGTCGCTCAAGACAAAGGTACCCAAGATACTCAAACTGGGGACGCCTGAAGCGCCGAAAGCGATTGTGCTGGTAACGGCACATTGGAGCACGAGCAAAGTGACCGTATCCAGCGGCTCGAAACACGAACTCCTCTACGATTACTACGGCTTTCCACCAGAATCTTACGAGATAAAGCATGACGCGCCAGGCAGTCCTGAAGTCGCAGAGCAGGTAGCACAAGCCCTCAAAGACGCTGGTATCGAGTGTGAGAAAGACGACAAAAGACGTACGTTCTCCCCAACCTTCTCTTTTACCTACAGTTTCTAACAACACCATCACAGCATGGGACCACGGCGTCTTCGTCCCCATGAAACTCATCGACCCCACCGCCCACGTACCCATAATCCAACTCTCGGTCCTCTCCTCCGAGTCCCCAACCCAATCCTACGCCATCGGCCGCGCCCTCTCCTCGCTCCGCACCCAAAACATCGCCATCATCGGCAGCGGCTTCGCTACATTCCACAATCTGCGTCTCATGTTCGATGGCACGTCACGGAACCCAGAGTTCAAGGCGCTGAACAAGGAGTGGAGTGGTGCTGTTACGGACGCGGCTATGACGGAGAGCGAGCAGGAGAGGGAACGCAAGTTTGAGCATTGGAGAAGTTGGCCGGGGGCTTATACTATGCATCCGCGGGGTGGGGCGGAGCACTTTTTGCCGTTGATTGTTGCTGCGGGAGCGGCTGCGGGGAGCAAGGGGAGGAGTTATGCGGATGATTTTATGGGGACGGATATGTGGAGTTATTATTGGGATGAGTGAGGGGGTGATGCAGGGGAGGTGATACAGGGTAACGGGTGGTAATCAGGGAAGTGAGTGAGCAATACAGTTTCTGCTGTAAAATTTCACATCAGAATGAAATTTTGGAGGAGAAACTGTATTGCTCACTTACTTCTCTAATTATTATCCATTGACGCTGTATGAGGTTTCATACAAAGGTGGTGATATAGGGTAATAGATAATAACTAGGGAAGGAAGTGAGCAATTGAGTCTGTACTTGAAGTCACTCACCGGAGTATCATCAAAAACAGACTCAATTGCTCACTTACTTCCCTGAGTGTCATTTATTAACGCTGTATAAGAGTATGTCGCGTCAGCGAGACTTCGTTACCCTACAACATCTTCAAGCTGAAAGCCACACTAGCTATCATATCCACACCCATCTGTTTGGTATCACATATCCCTCAAATCCACTCTCATCACCACCCCTTCCCTCCCTTCTCACCCCTGAATAGGCTTCAACCCATACCACCCAATCACGCCCACCCCGCCAAACGCACTCAAACAACTAAACACCAACGCCACAATCCCCCTCGCCGTGAAACCCTCCGGTAACCTCCCCGGACTCCTATTCTCACCCCGCAAGTCCTCGTAATCAACCGTGTTGCCCGCTGCATTCCCCTGCGTGGGTACATGCCCCGTTTCACACACGTCCCAGTGCGATTGCGGGATTGCGTTGTTTGAGGAAGAAGGGGAGAGCTGGGCTTGGACGGCGAGCGGGGCTTCGATCATTGTGGCGGTTAGCCCGGAGGCTACGTGCCATTCTATGTGGCAGTGGAAGAGCCAGACGCCTTGGGGTGATGTTAGTAGATGAAAGTGTAGGGTCGCGCAGAGAAAACGTCCTGAATGGGAATGTTGGTCTTGGTGCGTGGGGAGTGAGTGCCTTACCAGGGTTATCAGATCGGAAACGCAAAACAATGTGGCCGTTTGGTCGGACGAGGACGGTGTCGCGTCGCATGGGTGTTGAAGGGGGTGTTGTTGTGTTGGTGGGGTCGTAGAAGCCTGCGTCGTCGTCGCTGCGGGTTACGACTTGGAAGGCGTGGCCGTGGAGATGGAAGGGGTGTCTAGAAAACGTTGTTAGTATGAAGGCATCATCCACACTTCGACGTTGGCGTAGAGAGTGAACGATGCGAAGATGAGAGGGATATACGCACTTTCCAGGGTCATCATTGTTCAGCACGATTTCTACAACTTCGTTCTGAGCAAGTACGAACGCGTTTGTGTTGCTGCCGTAGATGGTGGGGTTGGTTGCGTTGGGCCCGGTGGAGAGGACGGTGTATAATGTGGGTACCTTGGGGCTGACGTAGGTTACGTCGTTGAAGAACGCACTGGCGTATGTTAGTTCCAAATTATACAAGCGCACGTATGTCATAGTAGATCGGCGACTCACTAATTTGCCCCATCGTCGAGATTATCCATCTTCAAGTCCAGCGTGATAGACCGATCAACATGATCAAACAGCTCTTCCTTATCATGCGGTATCAAAGCGAAATCATCAAAGGGCTCAAATGCTGATATCTCTTTTGCGGCAGGCATATCCTTCTTATCATCATAGACAAGCCATCCCGTGACATTGGGATTCAGCCCATCGGGTATAGCATCGAACAGGTCCTGGTCCATGCTTCCTACAAAAGCGAAGTTGGAATTGGTGTCGTTCTTGGCAGTGACGAGAACACTGTACCGCTGCGCTGCGGTCAGATAGATCATATCTGCCTCCATGGGTTCCGTATACACGCCATCAACCTCGACAACGCGCATGGTGTGATCCTCGAACCAGACGTACTGGGCAGCGAACGCACCCATGTTGACTAAGCGGAAGAGATACGTCTTTCCTGGTTGAATGGCGACCGTCAAGTTCTGAGTGTCATTGAGCAATGCGGCTTGAGGTACGGGCTCTGCGCCGGAAGGATTGGCGATGTTGATGAATTCGCCCAAGAGATTGTGCATGAGATCGTGGTACCAATCAGAAAGTGTTATGACGACTTCTTCGTCGTAGAGATCTTTGAATGGGTCTTCGGGATCATGCACAATCAGAGGGCCACGAAGACCATCTGGGTATTGGCCGCGCTCATGGCTGTGATACCAATATGTGCCGGGTTGGTCGACCTAGTTAGGTTAAAGACTGCAATGACTATCCATCAGTGACTGCGCAACTCACGGTGAAGTTGTATGTGAAGGAGCTGCCTGGAGGGATACCACATTGTGTGACAGCAACAGGACCGTCCATATGCGTAGTCCCATTCATGTACAAGCCATGAAAGTGCAGACTCGTCGACTCATTTCCTAGAGAGTTCTTTGCGTTGACGATGACCTGATCGCCTTTCGTGACTACGATAGGTGGTAAAGGCCATTGGCCATTGATGCCAATAACCGGGCGCGTTTCCTGCCCATCGGGGTTCGCATAAGTCCATGCTATGTCGAAGTCATATGTGACGGTCGCGCAGGTAGCGACTGATAGTAGTAGGGAGAGCGGAAGGAAGAGGCTCGATAGTGAGAGTGCCATGATGGCGCACGAGGCGAGTGCTGAGAATCAGATGCAGTCAGACCTCGTCGCTGATGATCAGGCTGCTGTGAGTACGACTGTACTAAGGAAGTTCATGTGCTACACCCACGTTAGTGCCGATGCAAGAACACTCTCGTCAGACGCAGGACGTAAGATCCGACGTGCGGAGATCAGATAAGACTCTCTAAGCATTTAGCCTCCACCATCCCAAGCCCGCATGCTTCGGCGCCGAGTTATCAGATCATCAGCCCATGTTCTCGACGGTCTGAAGGCGGCCACAAAGTGTCCAAAGCGGGGCTTTTGTGTTTTTCCCTCACGAACTAGACTTACCTCGGCCTGACGTGTTTGATCATCCCAGTATCAGATTGAATTTTCCACGTCTTGGGTAACGACTAGCGAGTTTGTCGAGCTTGATTTGCTGTGGGGTGACATTCACCGGGTGTTATCGGTCCATCTGATAATCTGGACCATGATCGACCAGGGTCTGGGGTAAGCGACGGCGCCGAAGGACCAATAAGCCTGCACTAGTCCGCGCCACGAAGTCTTGATTGGATTTGGCGTGCTGGGCATGTGAAGGTGCGGATCAGATAACTCGGAGGTTGGAGAGGGTGTTGGAGCATCTGTCGTCGGAAACAGAGCAGAGAAATGGGACTGAGGTTGGGTGTAGTCGCCTAACGCCAGAAGATGACAACCAGAGATATCGCAGTCGGAGTCGCACCCGACGCAGCACAAAGCTGAAGCATGATCGGTCCGTCGTGATACCGGGAGAAACTCAAATTAAGAGGCAGGGTCGTCGTGCATGCCCGAACTTCGGCTCTTGTCTAACGCTATCGACACGAACGGCAGGCGCGTGTTAGCCACCCTCAGCTTCGGGAGTCGCTGCATGTCCACCCATCTGATTAGATCCGTCCTCTGTTCTTTATCAAATACCCAGTGAGGGTAACAAACCACGCAACTTTGACAGTTCCAAGGTCCCTCAAGATGCCGAACGTCTTTGCTGTGCCAGGTATGTATGCGAGGACAATCGGTTTCCACTTTGTGGTGCTGATCATGCCATCAATGCTAACACTGATCAAGTCTTCTTCATTTGCTTCCGCGAGTGTCTGGAAACGAGCATCATTGTCTCTGTGCTCCTCGCCTTCCTCAAGCAAACCCTCGGCCCAGAACATGACGCGACAGTCCACAAACGACTCGTACGCCAGGTCTGGTATGGCGTTGGAGCTGGTGTTCTCATCTGCTTGGTCATCTGCGCTGGTGTCATTGGCACCTTCTACACTGCCGGTCGCAATGCCTTCGAAGCTGCAGAGAACATCTGGGAAGGCGCCTTCGCAATCCTCGCAAGTGTCATCATTACCATGATGGGAGCTGCCCTGCTCCGCGTCAGCAAGCTCCAAGACAAATGGCGTGTAAAGATTTCCAAGGTACTGGAGCAAAAGGATTCAAAACTACCCATTAAGGGCAGATTAAAGCGATGGTCGGAAAAGTACGCTATGTTCATCCTGCCCTTCGTTACTGTGCTTCGCGAAGGCATTGAAGCAGTGTTGTAAGTTACATCAGTCTTGCCCCTACATCGCAGAGCTGAACAGTCCATCAGGTTCATCGCAGGTGTCGGACTCGGTGCGCCAGCGACCAGCTTCCCTCTCGCCGTACTCTGCGGTCTCGGTGCGGGTGCCTTGGTCGGATTTTTCATTTACAAGGGCGGCAACAAGACTTCTCTACAAATCTTCCTCGTCATCTCGACGTGCTTTCTTTACCTGGTTGCAGCGGGTCTGTTCTCCAAAGGTGTCTGGAACCTCGAACAGAATGCCTGGGTCAAGCTCGCTGGCGAGGGTGCTGCAGAAGCCGGTGCCGGTCCTGGTAGCTACGATATCAGGAAGAGCGTGTGGCACGTAAACGTGGGTCTACATTGTGACAGAAGCCGAACCTCTTGTACTGACTGCGATAACAGTGCTGCTCACCATTGGAAAACGGCGATGGCGGGTAAGTGATGCACTCTCATCCAGATGTTTCCTCGCTAACATCGGCTCAGTTGGGGTATCTTTAACTCTCTTTTCGGCTGGCAAAACAGCGCGACCTACGGCTCCGTCATCTCGTACAACCTATACTGGCTCGTCGTCATCATCGGTTTCGGGTTCCTAGGGTGGAAAGAAAGCAAGAGCAGCCCCCCTCACAGCGCGCAAACCGAGAGCATTTCTTCCAGCGAAGAACGCGAAACCACAGGAAAAAAGTCCAGCGGTGAAGGCATCACAACCACGACAGCTGTACGAGAAGTTGATTAGACGAAGTGAGAAATCGTGGCCTCGAAATATCGAGGCTGTGAAATTGTGTTGAGCGTATTTATAGATCTAGTGGGAGGCCTCGCTGTCAGCTAATTGGGACGATTGAGGGAAAAAGCTTGTTCGGGCCAAAAGTGGACCCTAATGCAACCCACTCTAAACGAGGCCTAGGCCATCCCAAACATCCCCGAGCACTGAATCCAAGATAACCGCCCCCTGAATATCATCCGAAACACCCTGAGATTGTGGCCCTCATTGCAGTTTGCACATCGAACGCGTGTCGTTGATCTTTTTGCTGTGGGTCCCCCGATTGATGGTTTGCGTTGACCTGACGATCATGTTGGGGGGCACCGTTTGACAGATCTTCAGCTTACCTGCAAGGCGCTCAACGGTTTTCGTTACTAAAAACAAAAAATACCTACGCATGGCGCAAGACAGCGAAGATGACGGGCTGACACGACATTATTACCCATGCGCTGGAGCCGAGTTTCGTGGCGGAGTATACGCGTTCGGATGTTGATGCACAAATTCAAGTATACATAAAGTGGATGCTGCCTGCTCTCCCACGCGTCTTTGCTCCTAGGTCCTCGCTCTTGCTTCTGTCAATCGTTATTTCTGTCATTCTTCGATCTAGTTTCAACTTTAGACGGCACTGTTCACCTGTTCTTTACCAACGTTCTCCACAACTTTCGCGATTACCGTTACGATGCAGTTCAAGAACCTCGCTCTCCTCACTGCCGTTGCTGGCACTGCTGTCGCAGAGTTCGCTATCATCACCACACCGTTCCCCACCAACCTCAACATTCTCACCGATGTATGTTCCAGTCTACCCACCCATTACCTTGTTGTGTAATCAATGCTGATCCACGATATTAAGATCGACGGTTACGCTTCGTCCGTGTTGAACGTAGTCGAGACGGGCCTCGCATCCCTCACCCAAGCCTCCAACCTCGCTGCCGCCAAATCTGCCCATGATGGTCTCAAATCCTTCGTTGCGACTGCTTCATACTCGATTCCTAGCGGCGTCACGGAAGTCGGCGCGCTCGAGACCCTCTCTGAGACACCGGCTTGGTACAGCGCGCTCCCCAGCGATGTGAAGAGCTACTACGACAAGTACAATCAGGAGGTCCAGAGGCTGGTCAACCAGGCTATTCTCGGCGAGAACGGCACTCTTGCTACTACCACTGGAGCGGGTGCCAGTGGTGCGTCCGCGACAGGTGCGAGTGCGTCTGCGACCGGAACCGGTGCCGCTATGGCCAACGTGGTTGGCGTGATGGGCGCTGGCTTTGCTGCCGCATTCGCCGGTGTCATGGCCTTGTAAGCGTTGGGACGAAAGGTTGAAGTTGGATTAGAGGAGTAGGATTTACAGGGCAGGTCGTTTAAGTTTCTTCATTGGGCTGCCCTTGGCTAGGGATGAGATTTCCACGTGAGGCGGAACGACATCCGAATTTGTAGACGAGTTTTAGTTATGATACCTTTGCTTCTTTTCTGCACAGTTATGAGCTGCGAACGACAGAACGCTATTCCCATTGAGTGATGTCTTCTTGTATTGGCCATGTATTTACTCGTCTATACCTTTGGATCTATGCGCCTCCCTCTTTCCATGCACACAGTACATGTCTGTTGCCCGCGGCCTTGACAAGACTCCCTATTGACCTTCGCCCTTCGGCTGCGCCAACTTCGCAACCTCAGGATCCTTAGTAACCTCCTCGTAATCCGGTCTCGGCAGCTCAAACGCCTGCGTCGACCTCGCATACGTGATACCACCCAGCCTAGATATCGGCTTGAGAACCTATCCAGCATTAGCAACTTTCAACACCCACAATCTTCACACTCAATACTCACAGCAGGATCAACAAGCACACCCTGCTCATCAACAGCATCCTCCCTAACCCAAAAGTTGACACCCTCCACAAACGCAGTAACACCCGTCTTCTTATCCGGCGTAGCAGGATTCTTACTCGTCCATTCCACGGTATTCACCAGCTTTCCCTCAATACTAAACACGGCCTCCTTGACACGATCCGGCTTGACAAAATTACTCTTCTCGGCATGCAGCCCGCTAAACGCCCATTCACTCACATCAGCCGGCGCATTGATGCTCGTGTAATTCGCCGCCTCGACGTACTCCTCCGAGATGATGTTGATAACAGCTTCCTTGGTATCAACCAGGTTCTTCAGCGTGTCCTTGGCCTTGTCCATGCCACCCGCGAACCCAAGGACGAACATGGGTGGGTCGTGGTTCACGAGGTTGAAGTAGCTGAAGGGAGCGAGGTTCGTGCTTTTTCCATCTGCGCTGATTGTTGAGACGAAGCCGATTGGGCGGGGGACAATGGCGGAGATGAGCAGCTTGTAGTTGTGGACTACGGGTCGGCCTTCTTCGTAGGGGTTGATGGAGCGGTGCGCCTTTTGCAAGCTCGAGGGATCGTTGGGACCGGAACCGGGTTGCCAGTTGGGTTTCGGGGTTTGCGTGTAGTGGAAGGAAGAGCTTGTGTCGAAGGGTGGGCGCGAGGCTTCGACGGCTTTGAAGTCGCCGTGCGGGTTGCGTTTTATTTCCTTTTCGGCATCTGCTCGTCCGGTTGCCATGGTGTGGTCTGTGGTTTGGATGTTGGAATTCAGGTGAAAATTGTGCTATACTGATGATCACGGGAACGATGTCTTTATATCGATACCTAGGTATGGGTGCAACTGCCGTTTAGTAAAAGATGATCAATCGCGCAAAAT